TCTTAAGAAGAAATCTTTGCAGGCTGGAGTAGATAGATGGCTCTTATCCAAACCCTTAAGCATGAACGTCTCCCAGAGGCACTGTTATCAGCTCTGTCACTAACTGGCAACGTAACTATTGGAAAAGTGTTTAAAATTCCCAAATCTTTGGTCAGCTCCACCTCAAAGAGAGGCTAGGGACTCCCTGCCTAGGGTGATTGAGGCCAGTCCAAGGGGTGACACTGGTGGGATGAACAGTGGAGAGCCTAGAGCCACTCCTGCTCGCTCGTCTGTCAAGTGAGGGGGTAGGGAGCAGGCCTCACATTTCCATGCCGCGTGGATGTTGTGAGTTCACTGAAGGTACATTTCATCCCTGGAGAAGGTCACACTCAAAAAGATGTTGTCTACAAACCATGAATGCTTCCTGAAATTCTTTATCACTGGGAAGAGTGGTGGGGCGAGGGGCAGGTGGGCGACTATCCTCAGATCTGAAGGCCTAGGACTTCCAGGATGGTTGTTTTTCCCACTCTCTAGCCCCACAAAATGGGACTGAAACATCCATCTCCCAAGATATGAGGATTAAGGAACCTCTTTTGAGCACAGGAAAGAATTTCTGTGTCTGCAAGAAAACCCCACAGGCTTATTCAGATATCCTGGTAAAGTTTCTGAGAAAAATAAGAAATAATGTATGCAAAGTGATGAGACTAATTCCTGGAGCATGTGGGAGCTTTTGAGATACAATAGCAGTCCGTAGCAATGGCTCAAATGGCAAAGTACATCAAGAATTGGAACTCAGAAGAGAGTGTACGCAGCTCCTGGGCAGCAGGTGCCTGGTACTGAGGGGCAGCTCATCTCAGCGACAGGACATACGTGTCTGCTTCTGCCAGCTGCGCGGCTAGGTGGCACCTGTTCTGGGAGCAGAATGAATGAAGGCTCTGGCTGGAGATAAATGAGACGGCTGTGCGGTCTGCTGATCATTTGCCATTTTGAAAATGGCTTCCAGGGACCCTCCTTTGTGCAGGTCATGATCAGGTACAGAAGGGGCCCATGGAGGACAGGCTGAAGGAGGTAGCTCTGGCCCACCCCAGCCCCTACTGAGCCCTGGCTTGCCTGATCTATACACAGAAGTGGAACCCTAAGTTCCTTGAACTCAGTTCAGCTGAAGCACAGCTTCGTGAGCTCCTGTGATTTGACAGACATGGCTGGGAAGGGAGCCATCAGTGATGAGGAAGGAATGGTCTCTGGCCCAGAGACTGCAGGGGAGAATGAGGACTGGCTACTTGTGGTGCCATGCGACAGGTGCCATGGTGGAGGGACGTGTGGGATGCTATGACAGGAGAGCAGGGGAGGCGTGGGCGTTGAGTCCACAAAGGAATCTTGGAAGAAGGGATGCCCAGGTTGGAGTTTGATGAGTTACTGAATCCTGGTAGTCAGAGAAAGAGAACGGAAGGTGGATGTGTGGGCCAGGTAGATGGACTGCCTTGAACAAAAGCCTGAGCAAGTGGGAGAGCTCATCTCCTATAGCAGAGGAGGAAAGGGCAAGTGAAGCTGCCAAGGAGTGCTGGGACTGGGTTGAGGCTGCTCTAGACACTGAGAACCTGTCTAACACCACACAGGGGCTTCATGGCAAGACTCGCTGCTGCTGCTGCTGCTGGTCATGACACAAACTGCCTGCAGACTCTCAGGATGAGGAGGGCCAGGCAAACGGGGCTGCTGGCCCCAGCCTGGCCTTTGGGCTGTATTTCACTTCTAGGTGGCTGATGCAACCTCTCCAGAAGACTCAGCTCCTACAAGTGTCACTCCCGGGCTAGGTCTCAAGAGCATGACAGGTCTGCTTCCTGCTCTTGATGCAGAGGACTCAAGACTGAAATGCAGGGGCCGGTGAGATAGCTCAGCAGTGCAAAGCGCCAGCTTAGGCAAGCTTAGGCAGGTGCAGGGGACCAAGGTTCAATCCCAGGCACCACATGCTGTGCCAGCCCCACCCTCAGGGTGGCTAGCTGGCCAACAACACAAAAAAAGACTGAAACACAGCAAGAAGGTCAGCTGGAGTGGGGATTTCTGTTACTAGCCACTGGCCAGGGACGGTGATATGAGACAGGCAGTCCTGAGGTGCTCTGAGTTTTCCTGTCCAGCAAGCAGGACTGTCTCCAGATGACTCAGGATACAGAGGTGACTTCTCCACTTGACTGAACCTCTGGGCCTTCCCGGGGCTGCTCTGTCCACCTCTAAGGTCAGGCTACCCCCTTTGCTGACCTAGGAAGGACTGAACCAACCCAAACTACTATTAAGACCACGAAGCAGGCTGAACCACCAGCATGTCTGAATGTCAGCCCAAGCCAACAGGAATTATGTAATAAACACCAGCCTGGAAAAGATAAGGTGGCAAACACAGAGGACGACTTAAGGAAAAAGGTAGCTAGGCAGATGGCACTAGAAGAAGCCGACTAGTTAAACACAGTAAAAAAAAAATTGCAGTGTGGAGGTTGCTTTGTTTTTTTTTTTTTAAATCTATGGCAAAGGAAAAACACTGGCAATGTTTCCTGCTCTATATAACTGACAGATTCCTCAGGCAACTCCCACAAGAGAAGATGTAGCCTGGTGTGCACCAAGTCAGCCCTTAAGCTCACTTTCCCAGCTGTGTTAATAACCAAGTATCTTGGAATGGAGCTTCCCCAGACCCCCTCGAGCTGGACTGTTTATCATGGCAGCAGCTGGAGATAAGCTGGACACAAAGAGGATCTGTGTCTCCGGAGGGTCAGTCCCTAGATACAGAAAGCAGAGGAATGTTCTCATTAGTGGGAAGTCAGTGCTGGGAACCGTGGGGTTTAATCACATACCTCCAGTGCAAATGGCAACAGGGAGGAGAGGGTCCTGGGGGTGAAGACTCTGAGAGGCTCTCACTGGACAGCTGGAGGTTTCCATAACAGACTTCCTTGGGAGATGAGCGACATTAAATGCCATCTGTGCTTAGGAGGCTTTTCATGGGAGGTGGATGTATCCTCTCACAGGGAGTCAGAGCGAGGGGTACCCTAAGCCCAGGGTGGACTCAACAGGGGGCACTGTAGAGTGAGTGAAGCCCAGGGACCCCCAGGGTCAAAATCTCAATGAGAAGTCATTGCTCTTTGCAACCACAGCCAGGCTGAACTGCAGAAGTGAGTAGCACAGGGCTGAGAGGATGGGTAGTCCAAGCACAGAGGGCACTCCCAGGATTCTCTGACCACCAAGGGATTCCAGAATCTGAAGGCAAAGAAAGACTTCTCTGCCCCTGGGGCAGCACTTCAGGTACAGTCCTAGTGCGCTAATCCCATAAATTTTACCATCAGCTGGTGTTCCCACCAGCACGGTTCAGTGTGAGAATGAAATGTGCCTGATGGCCTCTGGTTGTCAGCAACTGCTGTGAGCCCAGAAGAAACGACCCATCTGCAGCTGAAATTGTTTGTCTTTGGTATTCCTGCTGCCCTTTAAGTTTTCTTTTAATCTTTTATTTATGTATTCATTTGGTTCAGGGGCTCACTATACGGCTCAGACTCATGGTGATCCTCCTGTCTCAGCCTCTCCAGCATTGGGATTATAGGCATGCACCACCATGTCCAGTTTCGGTGGCTAGCACGGCATGTACTGGGGATTGAACCTGAGTCCTTGCACTTGCCAGGCAGGTGCTTAGATCGCTGAGCCATCACCCCCGCCCTCCTGCTGCCCTTTGAATACACCCTGCTAGCACAGAGGGCAGATCTGATGGCATCCTTACCCATTGTCACCAGTGTAAGAGTCCTGTATCATTCCACCAATGTCACCACTCCGGATAGCACTTAGCTCATGATAGGTTGGAACTTGGGTATATTGTTTGAATAAATGCATCTTCTTCACCCTTCGGCTTTTAGACTAGCGGCTCTCTACTGGCATAGTGCTGAAATGTGACATATGCACATCCATTTTTAGCCTTAAAATTTTTTCTTTGCACTCTAATTTTCACTACTTGGTCTCAACCAAAGTTACAGTTTTGCAGAATGGTGGAAAAGAAAGGCACATTAGAGGCAGATTCCACATCCAAGTGAACACAAAAGCAAACCCCGAAGCCATCCAGCAAGAGAGGCCACCCAAAGAATAATCACTGGGGCACAGGCTCCAAGAAAAATGTTGCTGTTGTTTTCAGTGCCTTTGCCCATGCACCGGATCTGCTAGGTCTATTTCTGGGCGTCTCCTGCTTCCCAGAACAGTACGCCATGCCCCAGTGTGGGAATGCCAAGCACACTTGGAGGCCCAGTCATTCATTCGCTTCTCATACTTCCTCTTCTCTGAGAAACCACGTGTAGGGGTGGAACTGATGCAGAGCAGTGTGCAGACCTGGTCTCACACCAGACTCACTCCTGCCCTGGAGCCAGGAGGTCCCTGAGTGCTCAGCAGCAGGATCTACCCCTGACATAGGTATGGAAGCAAATGAGAGGGCGGGCACAAAGGCCTCATCTTCCCTCCTTCGGAAACATGTACAGCTTCAGTGAAAGACAGACAAAAAGTCCCTTTTCCTTTCTCCTCCATTTCCTTCCTTATAAGGACATTAAAAGTCTGGCCCATTCTCTGGTGTGCATGCTCTCTGGTCCCGGGGTCTGATGGCCTAAGGTATGACAAGGGGGCAGAGAGCATCACGCCAGCTCTTGTCCAAGCCACTTTCCCTCAACAAGCAAATGTCAAGGCCATCTCAGGTCGGGTGGCCCTGGGAGCAATTTCTCAGCAGTGACTCAGTCTACAACTCTGGGTATTTTGTTGTTTACTGATGCTGAGCTGAGTTCTGGTCCCTCTTGGAAAGAAAGTGCACAAGTGAATACACACAGCTCATGTCTTTCTTGGTGCAACCAGGCTGTGGACTTACACTGAGAACCAGGGGCCTAAAGGAAGGATCTTGTCAGTGTACATACTGCTGATAACCCTCAGCCGGCCAAAGATGTGGCCTCACCAAATCAGCCAATCAGGAGAACAATGATGGTAGATTCTGAGAAACTGCATGTCCCTGACAAAGGTCTCGGGTTGGAGGTCTGTCAGCGAGGCTCATCTGCCTCACCTTTCCACTTCCCTACTTCTCACTCCTCCAGGCTCCCAAAGCCAAATGCCAATGCTCTCCATTGAGGAAACCACTTCTCCCCATCAGTCAGGAAGGGAAAAACCAAAGCCGGCAAACCAAACCAAATCATTTTATTGTGCAATTTCCTTCTACCAGAAAAATCTCTAAAAATATAAATATGAACTCTCTAAAAAATACTCAGAATAAATCTGTTAATGTCTTCCTCTTCCAACCTGGGACTAAATTTGTTCTTTAAAAGCTGGTGTGGGTTGCAAACACGTTTCTTCCTATCACACACGAGAGCACTCCATGTTCCTCTCTACGCAGGGGTGGGGGCAACCATCCTCTGCCGGGTTCTGGAAGCTCACCTTGGGATCTGGCAGAGCAGAGCTAGATGAATAAGCGCTTATGGTAAGCCTGGTGAGTAATGAGGACGCAAAAGACTCCGTGGCCTCAGCTTCCTTTTGTGGACACAGATGACAGGCTCTTCATTCCTCATTGCCTTGCCTTCCTGTGGACTGGGGCACTCAAAGGTCAAGCTCTCTGGAGAAGGTGACCTTGCTATGAGGAGTACATGGGGTGGGGTGACCATGTAGCAACCACAGGAAAATCAGACACAGCACCTCGTGGCCCTTTGGATGGAAGAACTGTTCTGAGCCGAGGTGCTCATCAGGATTTGTGGAAGTTGCTTCCACTCTATCCTGAACAGCGTATTCCCTAGCACCAGGCAACATGTGCTGCATCTCTAAGATCAGCCTCGGTGTCAGACGACCTCCTAAGGCAGCAGTGTCACCTCCATAGGAGGTGGATGGCCAAGCTGTAGGCAGCTAGAGGTTGACCCAGGGGCTTGAGATACTTTAATCCAGACATGAGTCTGAAGAACTCTAGGTGATGCTGGAAATGATCCTGGGACATCCAGGTGAGACCCTTTGGCTGCTCTGGGCCAGAGGGTCAGCACTAATGGAGATTAGCATTTAGATGAGCTGGAACCAGCACCAGAATCCTCTGGCTACCATGGCATCTGGTCTCTGGGGAGGATCAGCCCAGGGCAGGCACTGTAGAGTTTCCCATAAGGGGAACCAAGCATTCTGTACAGACATCAGGTGAAACCAAGCTTGCTCCCTGATGCATTTTAGTGTCTTGGTCCACACATCCTCAGGTCCATGTGTTTTGGGTAAAGCCCCAAACGGATCCAAGAAATCTCACAGAACACTAAATGCTAGTCCTGAGGCTTCTCTCCAACCTCAGGGCAAGATATCACATCCTTAGGATGTTCTTGGAGTAGGAGAGAATGTACCCATGCACTCTCAACCCTGTTCACTCCACCAGGGCCTGCAGGGACCTGGCTGCATAGACCCTTGAGAATAGGGAGGGGACTGGACTTTGCAGGGAGTCTGTGGTAAAGCCCTACTTTCTGGGGCAATGGAAGACAGGGTAGAAGAGTAGGGGGTAGGAGGGTGGAGCTAAAGTCACACAACTGCAGAAGCAAGATGCAGGAAGGTACCCACATCCCAGGGATCCCGCTGAGGCTTCCAGTTCTGCAGGAGTTGGCATGGATGTTCTGTGTGGCAGAGGTAGTGGGAACAGAAGCAGACGCTCAGTGATGAATTGGGAAGTGAATCCCAGGTGTCCAGGAGTGCAGGGGTGGGAAGCTACACAATAAACAGATGGGGAGGTCACGGGAATCATAGGAGGACGATGGCTGGAAGAGCCTGACGTGGGCGGCTGTGCCTCTCCCAGCCTTCTCCTGAGCACTGGCCCCTTTGTTCAAGAAAAGAGAGGGTCTCCTCTTCCTGCAAAGGCCCGCTTGGCTGGGTTCCCTTCAGCATCTCCTGGCCACAGGAAGACAACATGATATGCCCCCTGGTGGAGATAGGAATACAAAGGTTAACCCAGGAAGGCAGGAACCAGCTAAGGAAGGTTGGATGATCCCTGTTGGTCCCTTTTCAACCAAGTACTGAAAGTAGACACACAGGACAACCATGGGCATCAGGATAAGGGAGGCACAGGCCAGGCCAGTGTCCCCTCCAGGAGCGGCAAGCACTGTGGGACACTCAGCAACTTCAGCATAAGCCCCAGGGCACCTGCCACTGAATTCAAAGCCATTTCCACTGGTTCTCACCACATCCCAACCTCTCACATGCTTCACCCGGCTCTTGCACTTTCCCAGACCCTGCATAGCCTCATTCTGGGCTGGGGGTGACCCTGAAAAGCTGCTCCCATCCCCAGTGACGTTCTTCTATGTCCTGGCCTCACTTCTCTCTCTACCATCTCCACGTTTGGTTCTCACAGGCCCACTCCCTCTGAGAGGAAAGGCTCTCCTCTCAAAACAAAACTAGAACATCCTCTGCTATTTCTGCCGGGGGCTTGCCTAGCCCTGTCTTTGCATACAGCAAAGGCAGCCTGATTGTCCTTCTGTGCATGGAGCTGTGCTCAGACACAGCCTTTCTCCAAGTGCTTCTTCAAGACAGGGGAAGACTTCATTCTATGGTCTAACATCTGACTGACTGGTGAAAACTTTTGATAACCTGAGGTAACAGGGTTCAATCAAGGGGGAATACTGCAAGGTCTCAGGCCTGGGAAGTACCTCATCTGGCCCCACCCCAGGGGCACAGGAAAGATGGCAACCAGAGCCCCACACTGTCTTGAGGGCAGAGGAGCCATGGTTGGGCTGCAGTCAAGTGTGCAAGGCTTTCTAGGCCAGGCCCATCATCAAGCCAAACCATCATTCCTCACCCAGCTTCATTCTCCATGAGGCACATGGGGGTGGGGGTAGGGCTATGAGCCATCACAGAGAGAGAAGAAAACAGGAAATAGGAGAGACAAGAGCAGACAGCAGACAGGAGGTGGGCAAAGGATTTTCATGAGCTCCACTATCCTGGGCTGGTGGCCCTGCCATTCATTGGGAAGCTAGGAGCTGCAGGACCCAAAGGCTGCAGCTGGCACCCAGGGAGTTTATGGAAAATGGACCAGGGATGGCACCCAAGTCCTTTGGCCATTCTTCAGATAGATTCTTCAGCTGGGATGACTGTGGACTTCTAGCCATGTGTGTGGAGAGTTGGCTCCCTGCTGAGTCTCACACAAGGAAGACAAAGGGTAGAGCTGGGGCAAGGACCTGTGCGCAGAGTGAAGGAGAAAGCAGGAGCAGTAGGGGTGTTTGGCAGGGAGGAGAAGAGGGTCTATTCGAAGGACAGCAGGTCTGGGTGAGGGCCCTCATTGTCAAGGCTGGAGGTCCGTGCCCGAGGACAGGGACTGTCGTCTTCCCAGGACTCAGCCAGGCTGATGGGGCTCAAGCTGAGTTTGAGGCCATTCCTCTCTATGAGGCCAGGGGATGAGGCTCTCCTGTGGTCAGTCGCCTTTAGCTTGGACTCATCCTGGCTGTCCTTGTGGATGAGGTCAGGTATGGACAGGGACACCTCGCCATTGGCCAGGGCCTCGCCCCTATTTCTCCGTTCTGGTGGTGAAGCATCTGCTGAGACAGGCTGGGCAGTGGGAGGACAGTCCTGAGGCTGCCCAGGTGAGAGCTCAGTCCCACACTCCAGACTGCTGAGGACAGGCTGCGAAGAGATTAGCATGTCCTGGGTAGTCTTCAGGGCCCGAGGAGTTCGCTTCTTGGTTATAGGAGGTGGAGGATCCAGCCGAGGGAAGGCTTCTGATGGTGACCTAGGAGGTTGGTGACAATAAACACACGCTTTATGGATGGCTGGACACCAGTCCATGCTGCATTCTTACTTCTTTAACTCCAGCGCTGCACCTTCAACTCACCCACCCAGCGAATGTCTCACCCCTTATGTATTCTGATTTTAGAGTACAAGAGTTCTTAGCAACTTCTGCACAACAATTAGCTTCCATCCCAACTCCATGCTCAGAGCAGTTCAAAGGGCTGCCTGCAGGAGACAGGCTAAAGATCACCAGAGAATGGCACCATATCAGAACCTACACGGAGGCCCACGACTGCATCAGCATCTCACAGGCCTACGTGTTGAAGATGAAGGGCCTGTTGGTGGGCGGTGGAAGAATGAGAGGGCAGCCACAGCAGGGTTCTCCCCCTTCCCCAGGGTTCTCATCTAGGGCAATGACTCTCACGTGTGGCTGGGCATCAGACACCATCAAGGGAGATTTTAGGCAACAGTTGGGTTTGATTCTCATTCTGTGATCTCAGGCCACTCATTTTACAGTTCTGTACTTAAGTCACCTGCAAAATGAAAGTAGAATCTACCTCCCTGGTTGATAATGCACTAAATAAAGCATGTAGCCAACTGCCTAGGACATGTTCCTAAGGTAATGGAAGCCAAAGCTGACCCCGTGAACATGGTCCAGTCCTTTGGCTTTCCTTCCCTCGACCATTCCACGTCCCTTTCCCTCAGCACACTGCAGTCTGCCCATGTACCTCTTCCTCAAGTGCAATACTGGGCAGGTGGATGGTGACTCACCTTTCCTCCTCTAAGTTGGCTCCCAATGCCACGTCAGCGCCCCCAGGCAGCTGTGCTCCTGCAGTCTTGTTGATCTCCATCACGCCCACATTGCCCAGGCTTAAGGGCTCCTTTCTCCGCAGGAGGTCATTGACTTTGGCCCCCATGGCTTTGCCCAGGTTCTTGAGGTGCTGGCTGCTGCCCACCCTCAGTCCTGGCCCACCAGGTTCTGCAGAGCTCAGGGTGGTGGAGCTGGGGGCTGCAGGCCTGGATAAGTGTGGGAAGGAGCGGCTCGACTGCAGCTTTGGAGTGAGGGCTGTGTTCAAATTCTCAAACATGCTGTGGTCAACTATGAACAAAGGTGAGAAAAAGAAAGGGATGAGCAAGGGAAACAGGGCCTGGGACCTTCTTACTCTGTTTCCCAGTTGTACATCGCACTCTAAACTTGTAACTCACTAATCATTTGGATATACTTCAGGAGCAGCCAGCAGAAAGGCTCTTGAACTCTCCAGTGCCTTCTTGATGAGACAGGAGAGCAGAAATTCCAGTTCTGCCTCACCCACGTTAATCAGTGACTGACACTAGTCATCCAAAGGTGAACTTACTCCTCTACATTGGCTGCCCTGACTCGTTCTTGACCCCTTTCTCTTGGAGTCACCAGGATGAAGTAAAACAAAAATGAGGATGAAGCCATGAGATGGGGTATGATTACAACACCATCAGCACACGCTGAGCTCCCTCATTTAGGCACTAAGAGAGCCTTGGGAGGATGGCAGGCCTGAGTCCTGGAGGTAGAAGCACCCTGCTGACAGCCACCAGATGTGTAGCAGTTTTTCTCTTTGGAGATCAGGCTACTGATTCCTTAGTTTTCTGGGTGGAGAGAGAATGCCTCAGCTTACATGAAGACAGGCCACCAGCTCACCCCAAGTGGCCCAGTACTGTGAGCCAGTGAAGCACAATGATCCTGACAAATCCTAGATCACTCAATGGTGCATGGTAGGATATCTGTTTATACATGAGGAAGGGGGCTCAGGGTGGCTCACAGTAACAAACTGTTAGGGCTGAGAGCACAGTACTAATTACTGGTGGGGCTAGGAACAGAACTCAGGTCTCCTAGCCCAGAGTTCACACTCTGTTCACTACTCTGTCCCTGGATTGGATCATGGGAACAGCTACCTGAATATGCTTTGTAGATGGTCCCTCTCTTGGGCAGCTCTCCTTGCCTTGAACTGTTAGCTCCAACGGCTGGGAATAGACCCACAGGGTTATTCTCTGAGTCCTTGGATCATCCCTCTTTATGTCTTTAACACCTAGCCTGGGTATAGGACATGGTAGATACTCAACAAACATTCTGAATTGCCAAAACCCATTTTGCAGATGGGAATTATAGAGGGCAAGATGGAAACTCCAAGACTTGCTGCTGAAAAGGCTGGGGCTCCAGGCTCTGGGCCATACTGCCCATGCACTGGCATGTAGGGATTCACTTCTAGCTGGAAACTCAGAGTAAGCAAGACAACTTGATCCTTTCTGGGACCTTGGTGCTGGGCCAGAATTGTTCACACCAATTACCCCTGATATAGTGTCAGTCTGAGGGAAGGAGGGGCTGCAGAGGGTTCCTAGGCTCCTCTCCTATCCTAAAAGAAATGGAGGTTGCGGTGGACTCTTGCTTCTGTCTGGTTTGGACATGAAGTGTTTCCCTCACTCTCTAGTGCTGAGTCTTAGGCCAGATAGTACACATCTCTTTCTTGTGTTTTCATCAGAAATATCTTCTCTGGGCCAACTACCTAGAATAAGCCAGGTTCTAAGGGGGTTTTGGTGACAAGGAGAAAGTCATGGAAAGAAGGACAGAGATCTCACTCTCTGTAATGGCCCCAACCTACATGGCAGGCAAAAGTACCACTGTGGATGGTGCATTCCAGGGACCTTGGACTACAACTTCCTTCGGTACAGATTAGGCCTAAAATTCAAGCAGGAGTTCTCAGCCCATCCTCAAACCAGCAGGGCCATCAACTCTTAGTTATTTTGCTAAGAGTGTATCTTGCCATGTCGTCCGCTTTGGCACAATTTGCCTGTTGGGTCTCGCATCCTTCTCATTTTCTTACTTATGTACTCTGTAAGCTAGCAAAGACTATGTGGAAATGAAATAGTCTAACTGTTGTCCCCTAAGCCAGAAAATGTATAGGTGCCTAAAGAATCACACCAAGCGCTTCAAAGGAAGGAAACGTCTTCCACCACTTCAGGTGAATATTCAGAGCCAATCCTCATTTTTAAAAGTGCAAAACACCAGAACTTCAATTATTATTGTTATTTTTAAAACACTATATAACAAATGACTTTTGGATTATGGATCATTTTGAAGATCCTGTACTTGCTGTTCTACTCTTCTAATATAGCCCATAAAATGTAGTGAATTCTTAAGTAATGTAAAGATAGCCTATCATGTACTCTCTTTATGGTTGGCTAAGTCTTTCTAGTAAATGCATCTTGTCTCTATAATAAAACAGCAAGCTCCTTGACATGCTGTAGAATCCTGTGCAGTTTTGAATTTAATTTTTTAACATCTATAATGCCTGGTTTTGGTTTTGCACAATTGTAGGCATTTTTAGTGTTAGTTGAATTAAATTTGACCTTTATATTAATTCTTAAAAATTGTATGTATCATAGGTTGACACTGTAGAGAAACTGTTTCTAAGTCTGTTCCATCTATAAAAGGACCACTCAAAGACCCCTCTGTAGAAGCACTCACTGGGGCTCTTGAGGTCAGGCCATGAGACTTGTCCTCCCCTCTAGTCTGGGCCTCTAGCCAGGGTCCTCTTATCCCACACCAAAGGATGTACAGTGAGCCCCTTTCTGGCTGATGACTCCAATGACCCCCACACTCTGCCCCATCTGCCTGAGATAGAAGCTCGAGATTCAGAAAGTGACAATGGAGAACAGAGAGGTGACTGGATCCCCTCCCAGCAGCACCCCTCCCCAACATGCACATCCCCAAGCAGAGGGGGAAACCTGGGAACACAAGTCATCACAAGAAAAAGGGTATCTTACCTGTCCGAGAAAGGGGCTCGGAAAGCAGGTGGGAAACAAGAGAAAGACACGTTTTATGTAGAGGCCAGTCATTCTGAGAGGGTCACCTCCTGCCTGGCCACCAGCAACAACATAACAAGAAAGGATATAGAACATACCAGATAGAGTCCCTGAAACCAGGAGCACAACAAAACTGGATGACCACGTTCTTGGAAACCCTTCAGTAACTAACCAGAAGAGGGTTGTATTTTAACTTTCCAAATAGGATCTGAGAGATTCAGCCTCCCCAGATTTCTCCAATATCCTCAGTCCCCTTTTCATCAACTATGTCTCAGATTCCCAGTTAGCAGTGGGAGGCATAAAGGCAAAAAGAAATTCTAAGTCCTCTGGGTCCTGCGTGTATTGTTTTACATGTATGTTATTCTCCATATGGAAATCACTAGATCTTAGCCAAGAACATATTCATCTACTCCAGGTCAAGAAAATGGAAAAGTCAGTGGCAGAGAGTTCGGCCACCATCACACAAGCAACTGATGGCTACAAGGGGCTAGAAGTCACACAGCCTGACTCCCAAACCCACAAACTTGCTCTATACCACAATGGCCCTATAAGACTGCCAATGCCCTCAATGTTGTCGAAGCATATGACTTCGATTTACACTTCAATAAGTTTCTACTACCCAAACTATGCCATGAAAGCCCGGCAAACCATGTTCTACCACTGTCTTTCAAATATTTTAGTATTGAGCATAAATACATATGGGACGGCAACCCTAGGCTCTCCCATCTAGAATTTGACACAATCCACTCAGACATGCTCCACCCAGCTATGGAAGGAGCTGCTGCCATTGCTGCTAGTGGACTCCATAAACAGATCACCATTTAGATCTGAAGCCCTGTTGTGTATCTAGTTGGCAGGTTCTGATGATGCACAATGGGCCACCTTCAGCTAACCATGAAGTGTCACAGTCATCTTTCGTTTATATGCCACACACCACTAGTGTAGGTTATATGACAGCCCAAAGCTGAGACAAGAGGCAGCTCTCATCCTCAACCCAAAGAAGAAAATGATATCCACTGGCGTTTCAGTCACTAACAGAAAGGAGCACCAGCCACTGAAAACATGTGGTCCCTATTCTCAGGAAGTACGCATTGAATTTTTGAGTATAAAAGGATCTAATGTGTGCACCTTACCTGTGAATAGCTCAGGAAAAATATCAAGCATATACACAAGACAGTGGGAGAAGGACACGGATGGAGCACATGGGGTAAAACAGGAACAAGACAAAAATCTAACATGGGGAACATGGGTGTTCTTGATGCTCATTTAACTTTTGTGACTACTTTTTTTGTGGTACTAGTAATTTTTGTAAATTTTATATATTTGATGGTATTTCCAAATACAATATTAAAATAGCTATATCTATCTTCATCTTCCAAACCAAAACCCCAAAACTAAAACAAAACCATAAAGACATTTGCTGCCAGAAGTTAGGCAGATAAAGAAAAACAAAGCAAGATGCTCATTCAGAGAAAACAGAGGCTCCCAGTGCGAGGGGAACATGGTGAGGTCAATACAGAAAAGGACAATGACAAAGGAAAAAGGGGACAAATAGCATTGATATCCTATTTCTACTGTATTCTTCCTTCTTTCGGAGAAGTGTCACCCTGCTAGGGCAAGCCACTGAGGAATGGCATCAAAAAAAAAAAAAAAAAATCTTGCTGGGAACAGACTCCATCTTTTACAGGGGTAACCTAGCAGGTAAGTGGAATCAGGGGACCTTGTGATGTCAACTACGCTCAGAATGCTCATCACCTAGGCAACCTGGCCCACCTCTTGGGAGTAGGTGTGGGATCTCCAGACCTTTGCGGATGCCAGAATATGGAGAACTTCTCATTCCTTAGCATCTCTGGACCTCGAATCTCTCCCTCTGCCCGGAGCACTTTTCCTGATATTTTGTCCTCATGTGCCACCAGCTTGCCAGGTAAATTCTGGTGTCACTAGGACCACAAAGAGCGTGGGGTTTCTGAAGCTTTCACCTGAGGACTCTATGAGATCATGTTACAGGACCACGATTTAGTGAGAAAGCCAAATTATACATGGGGAGAAAATAAATTTTCCAAATGCCGCTTTCCTGGTAAGTAATTCTTGCTGTTAAATCATTTCTGGCAAGGAAAGAATAGGGAAAATTATTTGTTGTCAAATTTCTTCTCCCTGGAGTCAGCACAAGATGTCAAGGTAGTGGTCCTTCTATGTAGAGTAGGTACTCCTTTTAGCTTTGTTTTGCTGAGCTAGAAAAGATTTAGACTAAAACCAAAGTGAGTAGCTAAAAGCAGGGTAACTGATGAGAACGTCATGGAATAAAGTTGGACCCTAAGTATGCGCTACTCAAAATCTGGCCCATTAAGAGACCTGTAACATCAGCATCTCCTGGAAGCCCATTAGAAATGCCAAGTCTCAGGCCTCCAACCCAGACCCACCAAGTCAGAAGCTGTGTCTGTGATTCCTTGCACCTTAGAATTTGCGAAGCATTGTTCTGTGACGTGGTTCTCCTGAACATCCTTTGGACTGAACAGGCTAGTTATAAATCTGCCTCCTCAATGGATCCCAGTGAGTGCTCTGGGATTGCAGGTCTGCTTTGTATGCACATACTGCAGGGCACAGCAAAGGCCTACATGAGCCCTCGCTGGCCATGGGTATGAGATGCTAGAGAACCAGGCTTCTCCTGGGTACCAAGGTGTGCAGAAGCCTGCAAGCAGGGAGAAGTCACACTCGTGCTGAGCTGCAGAAGGATCAGCTGAGGCATGGGCCAGGCAGAGAGGTGTCCTCTGGGCCACATTCCAGAGCCCCCCTTCCAGAGGGTTTTTCTAAGGTCTGAATAAAACTGTTCCACTTGCAATCCCCCAAGATGTCATCCTGAGTAGCTCTGCTTGGCTGGGTTCCAGAGGCTGTTTTGTTTCGGTTTTGAGATGCCTTGACATACAGAGGGTGAGCCTTTGGGTGCGTCTTGGAGAGCCCTAAGGAGGGGATTCCCAATCTTGCTCCGCTCACCAGGGTGTTTCTTCTGTAACCCAGACATTGCAAAGACAACAGTACCCAAGGAGGCTGCCAACCCAGCTCTGTCCCTGCCACCCCAGTACCAAAGGAGCACTCTCCGGCATGGGGTGCATAGCAGAGTGCCCTTCCCAGGTGAGGCCTTCTCTGACCCTGATGGGGACATGTGGGAAGCCGAGGACAGTCCTGAGGGCAGGGGTCTGCAGGCTGCTCCCTTTCCATGCACTGCTGTTTTCCCAACAGCCTCCTGTCTGATCCTTCCCCTGAAGAGCACTGTGGAGGCCTCCTGTCTGTCCTCTCCTGTTCCTCTAGCCGATAAGGAGAAGCAGTTTCTGTCTGAAGGATCAAGATAGGCAGGGAGGCTGGAAAAGAGGTCACAGCCATCAGTGATAAAAAGAGGGACAGTTGGAGTCTGAGATCTGGCTGTCCACTAGGCCAAAGGGCTGAGTCTATCCTTAGGGAAGTCAGGGGACAAGGCATCTCCACGGAGGGAAGCACCCAACACCTACCAAGGCTTAGTCACTGAGGAGGACCTCTCCTGTGTGGCAAACCAACAGCTATTTGTACCAACAGAAAGAGAAAGCAAGAACCAATGTCTCAGGCTGCACCCCCCCAGCCTGTCTTCTATTTGCCCTTTGTCACTGCCCTGATGGGGAGGGGGCCCCTGAGGTCATGCTTTGCTGCCCACACTCTTGTCTTTCTCCTTCTCCTGATGACCTCCAGCCACTGCAGTTCACTGCTCCTGCTGTTCCCCGCCCTCTGCTGTGGCTCAGGCTCAGACCTGGTCCTTTACTTTGCAGACTGTACCTCAGGGGACACCCCCAGTGGGAAGCAGCTGAGGCGGAACTGCATCATCTATCGGCCCTGGTTCTCCCCATACAGCTACTTCGTGTTCCTGGACAAAGAGAGCCACCTGGAAGCCTGCAGCCTCCCAGAGGCAGAACAGGATGAGTGCAGAGGGGACAGCAGCCTTCTTGAAGACATGGCTGAGAGTATCTGCTCTTCCTCTTCCTCCGCAGAGAACACATGCCCTCTGGAAGCCACCAGAAAAAACAGGCATGGGTTGGACGCTGTGGATTACGTCACATCCCAGGACATCCTAATGGCCTCCAAGTGGTACCCAGCCCAGCAGAATGGCTACAAATGTGCAGCCTGCTGCCGCATGTACCCCACCCTGCACTCCCTTAAAGGTCACATTAGGTGGGGGTTCAAGGAGGGTTTCAGCTGCAGGGTATACTACCGCAAGCTCAAAGCCCTCTGGGGCAAGGAACAGAAATCCTGGCCCGGGGATAGGCTCTCCTTAGGCCGCTTCCAGGTCTTCCAGTAGTCCCCTCAGGTGAACAGGGGATGAAGCCTATTGATGTCTCCAGAGAGATGCCAATAAATCAGTTAGTCACAGCCTTCTGGTCACCTTGCACCATCTGCCATTCTTCCCAGAACCCATTTAGTCCTTATCCCTTTCATCTAGCAGTTGCTTAGCAATACCAGGCCTGTCTCTGTCTCTCTCTCTCTCTCTCTCTCTCTCTCTCTCTCTCTCTCTCTCTCTGTGTCTCTCTCTCTGAAAGACAATGCCTGAAGTTTGAGAATATCTTCTCAGACAGAGGTTCTCAGAGTAAGGTACCCATATAAGCAGTATCAATGACCCTTGGATTTTTTTTTTCAATGTACTTGGTACAGGCTCTCACTACGCAGCTTGGACTCATAGTGATCTTCCTGTTTTCAGCCTCCCCAGTGCTGGGATTACAGGTGTGCAACCCACTATGCCAGGTCTCAGTGGCCAGCTCAGTGTACTCAGGGGCGGGGCCAGCATGGCGTGTGGTGCTGGGGATTGAACCCTGGTCCCTGCACTTGCCTAAGCAGGCACTTAGTCCACTGAGCTGTCTCACCAGCCCTGACCCCTAGAATTTTGTTAGAGGAGCCAGGGAGACAGCTCAGTAGAATAAGCGCTTGCCTGGCAAGCTCAAGGGCCTGAGTATAATCTCTGTTTCTGCCCCCCCCCAAAAAAAGATAGAATTTTGTTAGAAATGAAATTCTCAGGCCCCACTCAGACTTCCTGAGTGAGGTGCTTCGGTATGGGAGCCTAGCCTTTGGTGTCCTGACCAGCCTTCCAAATGATGCTGAAACAGCCAGAGAAGTGAAAGCCATTGCTCCAGGATCTGGCCTTCTGCTCGGCCTGTGCAGGAACTGCTCCACCCCTGCCCTCCAGGTGGCAGGCAGACTGGCTGCACTCTGAATGGCTTCCCAGGTGTTAGATCTCTAACAGGTGGGCTGGGGAGCACAGCGGGCCCCTAAGCAAAAGGTAAGAAAGGGATGCAGAGGGCAGACCTGTTTCCAACACACACACACTGCAGTGGCTCACTTAGGATGAGCATCTTCTGCTGAAGTAGAGGAGAATCAGGTTTCACTTAGGGGACATTTCTTCACGGCTGTTTTGAGCTATGTCAAGCCTGGCAGGTAAAAGTGTAAGACAGGGCTCCTTGTTACCATCTAACGTGCCCAGGGCACAGCCCTGACCCCTACTCTTATTTCTGTGGAACCGTCACTGCCAATCTGACCCAGATAGATGGGTGAGATGGGTAATATTTATTCAGTCATTATGTATTTCAAAAAGAAAAAGGAGAAAGGCCAAACACATGCTGGTCATATTTTTAGGCCTTTTTTACCTCTTGTTTCTTGCCCCTGATGACTATGCAGCTGCTCCCACCACAGAGGGGCATCTCTTTTCAGGGACCTGACACCAGCATCCCTCCATGTCTGTCTCCTGGACAGATGGGCAAGTGTGTGGGCAGAGGAGCCAGCCTCACCCCTGTGGACATACAGTAACCTCTGGGAGCCCTACTTTGGGGCTCCTCATTGTGCTGTTAAAGTCATTTGTGGTTCTTTTGTTGCTCACAGAAAGAGGAGCTGGGCTCAGACCCCTATCGCTTCCTATGCAGCATGTTCTGCTTCCTGTATGGACATTTTCAGAATGGGCCCACTCAGGCTCCAACTAACCTCACATTCAGCTGGGAGTCTGTGCAAATGTATAGTCTCGATCTTAGTTATACTAGAAACTAAGATGCAGTACTTCCTCAAGCGCTCAAACATGTGTTGCTACTGTCCATGTATTCTAACATGACTTGGAGTTTGAAAAGCCATAGAGCCTGAAAAGACTGCACAAATCGGATGCACTTTCTTATATTAGCTCTACAGCCACTTGGGGCTTGATACTTCTGGGATGGGGGCTGTCTTGCACATGCCATGTGTAGTAGCATCTCTGATTCCCACCCACTATGTGTTAGGAACATACCTACCCTAGCTGTGATGAATAAAAATGTCTCCAGTAAGCATCAAATGCCCCCTAGGGAAACAAAATTATTCCTAGCTAAAACTAGTTCTAAAATCTGACTAATAGTCTGAGCCCCTAAGGCTGTCTCTCTGCAGCCTACTACACTCCTGCAGGAAATATGTGAATCCGTCCTTAGTGCCACACCTTTGGGAGCCATGTCACAGAGCTGATCCCTCCTGGTTTGGGAAGGGGTGGGAAGTGAAAGGCACAGAAAGAGCAGGTGAAATAGAAGCAGCAAGAAAAGACAATGGGAAAGCTTTTAGAAATAAGAAAGGTTTATTTAGCAAAAGCCACCAGACTAGTGACAACATCCAGGGAGTAAGTGCACTTACATTAACAGAATCTTGTCCCAGAGAGTTGATCCAACAGAGTTAATGACACAACAGTTTGGGGAAATAGAGGGCTAGAGGGTGAGAGGGTAGGAGGAAGCAGTCAAGCAAGGAGTAAATAAAGCAATACAATTCCTGAACGAAATCAGTTGAGAGAAGTGAGCTAGGGAGAGGTTTTACCGATAGCGCTACTATAGCAGGGATATAAGGAATACAATTTTCAGTCTCCATATGCAGTCCATCCCATGCAGAGAAATTCTTTTCTGGCTCTGCAACTGTTTGAGACCTGGGATGACCAAGTCTGTTGGCACCCGAAGCAGGTTGGGGCAGGCACCAATAAGGGAAGAGCCCCTGGTGTCCATGTGTTCTCCATGTAGGGTAGAGTAGAAGGACAAAAAAGAGGAAGGCAGGGTTGAGTTAGCAGAGCAAGAAGCAAGGAGGGAAGAGGACAGAGTGTTGTCGCTGGGAAATCAGGTCTGTAACAGTCCCTTTCCTGTCCAGTTGGCCCTGAGGGGGGTCGGTGGCTGGTGATCCTTCCAAGCCCTTAGATCTGTCCTTGTTCTGTCATCTCCACACACCATGTGTACACATTCGGGTCACACTGGGGAGGGTGCCGTACACGAATGCATACTTCAGGGAGAGCTTGAGTCAGGGAAAGTGTAGGGTTGAGGCAGGCAGAAACCGGGGACAAGATCTTGAACAAGCCCTAGCTTAACATCATACATAGCAAGTCTTTCCATTTCTTTCATCTTGCCTCTATTTCCTTTCTTTTTACCCTTTTCAAGACCTTTTAGAAACTATCTTCCCTACCTACTCCCTAACCACGCCCACACAAACCTCCTCCAACCACAGTTCATTCATTAGTCCATTGGCTTCTGGTTCCATCCTTAACTCCCTGTAGGTGGCAGGGCTCAAGGAAACAGACCTTCTACTGCCCTAGACACCCAAAAGTCTGATGGTCTCAAAGGTCTCAGACTTCAGGAAGCCAGCTCTAGGATTTCATAAGCTAAGGAGGCTCCGCCACACTGGATTCCTGACAGCTGCTCCTTCAGTTCTGTGGATCTCACAGAACTGTTCTTCTTTCCCTGGTTTGGATCTATTTCTAATGCTTAATTAGAAAATGTAGCCAACTGAACCACGTCTCCTCAACTAAATGCATGTTAGGAAAAGGATACAAATCAATTATTGATTCAATCATGCCCAAGATCCCCTCTCTTTTCTCTCCAGTCACTTCTCACAAGCCTACAAATATATCCTTACCTTCCATTACACGTGTACACATGTGTACACACACACACACACACACACACACACACACACCACCTCATCCTATTTTCTATTTCCATGAACACCCTGATGCAACAAGGAAGCAAATGGAAAGCTGCACTCATTCACTTACTTCCTTTAGCTTGGACTTGCTGGTCTGAAAGAGATCCAAGCACGGCTATAAGAGAGGGTGGCACTTGCATTTATATCAATTCCAAAACAAAGCTGGGGTTGAAGAACTCCACTGGGGTGACTACATCCTTCTCAATGGGCCCTCTGATATAGTAATACTGAAGCCTGGTCTGTAGCTTGTGGTCTGGAACGGAGACTTCTTCCCCTGAAACATAACACTGAAGCCTATCTCTACTCTCTCTCTCCAGGCATTTTAAAATTTATTAACAGCTACTTACAGCCTTACAGGGGCAAAAGGAGCTTATCTTCATGGGCCCCGCCAGCCTGCTACTAAGCAGACATCCCTAGGCAGAGCCTAGATCGTAAAAGATAAAAAAGAATGGTCTGGAGAACCTTTCACAGGTGTGCTCAAGGCATGCACCCACAAAGAGATGGGCCAGGGTGGCACAGCTGTGGCCTCTGATTTAAGTGGCAGTGATTCTTGAAGAGTGGACAAAAGCAGTCTCAGCCTTCTTCCGCTTCCACCCATTTTTCGTTTTGTTTTGCAGTAAAAACTATTATCACCCAGTGGAGGGGATAGGAGAAAGAGGTAAGGTGGGGGCTCTGAGGCTCCGAGCTCCAGAGCAAAGTGCTATAAAGGGTTTGGCTGGCATAGCCCCTGCAGCAGGATGCAGGGGGGTGTGGGGTGTTTCCTGACTTCTATTTACAGGGCCAATTGGCAAGCAGGGGGCAGGCAGGGCAGGGCTTCCACACAGAAGGATCAGACCTAAGTGACTTCGGCTGCTGACAGGCTGTCCTGACCCTGGCTCTCGCAGCAGGACCTGAATGTTAACGCTCCCACACTCCCTTTGAACCCATATCCCCACAGAGAAAATGTTTGCATCCCATTTCCTGCAATAGTTTATCCACTGTGACTTGTCACACATCCCCACGCATACTAACACTAAAAACAATAGCCTGGCTCTTGCAGCCCAGATCATTCAACCTCTACAGTGTCAGCCGGGGTCTGGAGAAAGAATTCCCCCGTAAGGTCGGGGGAGGGTTAGGCAACTGGTAGCATCCTGATATAAAGTACCTGAGAAGGTACCAATGGCTTCCCTTTCTGGTCGGGACCACGGAGACAGGGAGGGACCCCTGGGGCATCAAAGGACAACAGCAGAAGAGTCTGATAGCATAGCAGGTACGGGAGGGGGGTCTTCCAGCAGCCCAGTGATATTGAAGAGGGACCCTTTCCCAAAGCCATGGGGCTCAAGACAGGCCTGCTTCCACCACCTTTGAGTCATAGCAGAAGACGGAACTGACTCACCCCTGGGAGTCCGAATTCCTCCCGATTTCCTTCCAAGGCACCATCCTAACCTCCCTTCAAAGCCTTCACCTCTCTCCTTGACCCTGGGTGTTATCCTCAGCAGCACGCCTTCCCTGGGCACTCCTACCCGGGCAGCAGCAGCCGGTCACGGCCCCTGGCACCTGTTGGTGTCTCCTTGCCTGGCACCTACACGGCGATCTCGTCATCCAGGCTGTCGCCCAGCTCCTGCCTGGGCAGGACATTCAGCAGGCGTGGCAGCTCTTCCTGCGACCATGAGTCGCGCTCCTCACTCTCATCAGTGTTGGACTCATACTCCGAGGCGATGCCTGACTCTCTGAACTTGAGGAGCTCCAGGCCCCCCAGGACAGGCTCCCCCTGTGCCGGGGGAGGGGTGTCCTCGGAAGGGAGGAACCGGAAGCACTCCAGCTTCACCAAGCAGTCGCGCCTACCTAAGGGGCTGCCCACAGGGGGCGCAAAGTCAGCCAAGCCCGCGCCCAGCGGCGGCGGCGAGTGCAGGTCCTGCGGCTTAGGGGTCGTGGGGTCACAGAGCACAGGCAGGGCTCCCGAGCGGAAGGTGATCTCCAGCAAACTGTCCTGCGAACCCACTGTGGGAAGACAAGAGGACAGGGGTGATGTCAGGCACGGTTCTCTTCTGGAAAGCCAACTAACTGGCTGGAGGTGTGCTTCAGTGATAGCACACGCAAGGCCCTAGGTTCAGCTGCCCCTGCCTCCGCCAGGGGTGTTCCATGTACTATGAAGGGAAAAGCCCTCCAATGATGCCACATGGCAGGGACTTCCACGGTCACTGAGGACCAGGGCTGCCAAAGTCTGCTCTGGTACTCAGTGCTGTGATCCACGGCGTATACAGACAGGGCGACCCAGGGCCTGTTTTCACACGGGTAAGGTCAGAGTGCCCATTAAGCAACCCCAAAGCCTTAGGAAGGAGCGTAGTTTTCCTCGCACCCACATGGGCAGGTAGGGAGGCTGGGCAGGGCCCCCTGGCTTACTGGCGTTCTGTCCAGACAGCTTCAGCTCCAGCTCCTGAACCTGCTTGACCAGCAGGGAGATGTGCTGGAGCATGTCCTTGTTCTGCAGCAGGAGCTGGTGTACACGGGCCTGGGCCTCCAGCCGGGCCGCAGCCTCCGCAGCCAACTGGTCCTTCAGCAGGTGAACCTGCAGTGAAGAGGAGGCCAGGAGGGTGGAGGGGAGACAAGGCAGAGAGGAGAGAGGGACATGAGTGCACATGAGGACCTCCCTGCGGGGTCGGGACCAGAGACGATAAAGACTTGCACAGCAAAGTGGATGCCTGGGCTTGTGGCTCTACAGTGAGAGCCACAGGAGCTGGGTCACTGGGTCTGTGGATCCCTCTATACATGGGATATCATTGTGTGTCTCACACCAAGGGCCAGAGATAGCAAAGAGCCGCTTCCACACTCACACTGCCCTCTGTCCCCATTGCCCTCTTTTAGCACCCAACACAGCACAGCTTTGCAGAGGGTACTCCTCCCTTACTTTTGCTTTTAAAAAGCAAAACCTAAGATTAGTGTCACAGTAAACCCCTACATAATCTTTCCTTGCATCTCCTCTTTCAAATAGGACAAAGAATAGGAAGCATAGCTTCTCGTGGTGGTAGACACCTGTAATCCCAGTGCCCTGGGAGGCCGAGGCAGGAGGACCACAAGTTCAACTCCAGCCTGGAAAACAGCAAGATCCTCTCAAAATTTAAGAAAAAAAAAAAGGGGGGGGGGTGCTGGGGATATAGCTCAGTACTAATTTCTAAATGAGACTGTGGGGCCTGCCCTATGTCTGTGGGGGCCAGCTTCTCAGCCTGAGCTACTGCTCCCCTGTTGTTTCCCATAGAAGCATTTAGGACAATGCTTTCTTCTCAGAAGAGGAAGTGTTTGTTGAGTGACTGTTAACAGAGCCTGACATCATTAGAGGCCTGAGGTAGACTGTCTCCAGGAAGCCCCTCATCAATCCATGACAGTCTTGGGAAGGGACAGCGGGCACACGAGCAGGCTTCGGGCCAGTGACATCTAACCACCTGTTCTTGGTGTGGGATCCTCCTGTGGAATGGAACTCACAGGAAGAGACGGGGAAGTAGTGGCCCTTTAGTTCACAAACTTAATTCTTTTCATGACTGTGCTCGAAAACTGAATTGGTCACAGATCAAATCAAACTCAATGCTTAGGTTCAATGCTGACCTTATGGGGAAATTTGATTTGGGTTGTGACCAGTTCAGTGTGTGAACAGAATCCTGGAAAGAATTAAGTTGATGAACCAAGGCACCAGGTGTATATCAGGCCTCTGGCTTGAGGAAACTGAGTCACTTGACCAATAATAACACCCACACATATATGGTTCTTGTGCTAAGAAGTGAATAAAGAGGAATAGCCAGTTTAAATGGGATTTCCAGTCCAAGTTTTCTAAGGAGTCTCCACACTGACTTCCAGAATGGTTGCACCAGTCTACATTCCCACCAGCAGTGGAGAAGGGTTCCTGTTTCCCCACAGCCTCTCCAACATTTGTTATTGATTGATTTCTTTATGATAGCCATTCGTTCTAGGGTGAGATGATATCTCAATTATTGTTTTAATCTGTATTTCACGGATGGCTAGTGATGTGGAACATTTTTTCATATATTTATTCGTTTCTTTAATTTCATCCTCTGAGAGTGTGTGTTCATCTCAGACGCCCATTTCTGAATTGGGTCTTTAAATTTTGGGGTCCTAGTGTTTTTTAGTTCTTTATAAATTCTAGAGAGCAGACCTTTGTCTGAATACTTATTTGTCATGATTTTTTCCAAATTTGTGGGTTGTCTTTTCACTTTGTTGGTAATTTCTTTTGATGTGCAAAGATGGCAATTTGTGATAGTAGGTTTATGCTTGGAGTACCTGTCATTCTGGTCTTCTGAATATGGGCTACTTGTCATGACATGACAGTTGTTGCTGTGCTGTCTCTCGGGTAGATGATTGTTCAAAAGAAGGGGGTGGTGAATGAAAGCAGGAGACAGGAAAAAGAATGTTGTGGGACTGTCCTGCTTCAAGGTTGTATATGGTTAGATTTCTGGACTTATGTGTAAACATAAGAATTATATAATTCTTTATGCCTATTTTAAAATATATTCTTATTTTTAAATGTTTTTTCATCATATTCTGTAGGGACTTAAAGTTCAACATATCAATACTTGATGAAAAATACCTGCTCCATGTTATGCCTAAGGTGTTTGATATTCAGACAGATAGTGAGGTTAAGCTTAACAGCCTAGGTTGTATGGTAATACAATAAGCTTGTCCTCTGGAGGGTTAACAACCTAAGTTTGCAGACCAAAATTAGAGAAAAAGGAGGGCCGCAAGGAAAGCCAATATTTTGGCCTTAGTCTTCCAAAGTCAATTAAGACTCAGGACATATGAGAACTTGTACTGTAACATCATGTAACTCGGTAGTGTACCAAATTTTCTGATTAAGGAGATTATGGGGCCAAAGAGGAAAGTGATCGATGATGTAGAGTGTGCCTAAGGGAATCACATGGAGAGAAAAGATTCTCTTAGGCTTTCACAGACAGCACATTGGCCAAGCAATGGCCGTGACTCATTCACATGGCTGACACTGAAAAAAGATCTACAATCTGAGGTACAGGATCTCCGGATAAATCCTGAGAGGATTTCACTGACCTTATCACACCCAAAAGCTACAACTCTTGTTGCATAGGTCTTGCTTTATCTTGGTCTTAACCATCCAGGAGAAAAGTATAAAAACGAAGTATAAGAAGTAAAGCCATGCTGTTATGTTGAGCTGTAGGAGACTAAGGTCAACAATTTCTGATATTGCCAGTCAAGCGAAAGACCTAATACTATTATGGACTACTGGACTCTTTTAGAATATTTTGCTGAGTTAACACACCTATAATATTCAAATAATGGAACTAAACAAAAAAAGGGGATACAGATGAATGTCCATTTTGTATCTGTGTATTCAAAATGGTTAGGATAGATATATAGTTACATTCTCTTAATGAATACAGGGATTTGTTCTAATAATGTTTGTAAATAGGATATCATGTCCGCATCTTGTACAGCAAATCACCACTGGGAAGAGTGTTTGCAGTGTGTTAATTATTGAAATTGTCCTACCAATCTGTTTTGAAACTGTCTCATTGCTATTTGTTTCTCAATAAAATTATGGAAAAAAATTTTAAAAAAGAAGTGAATAAAGAGTCCTCAAAGTGGGGTTCAGGTCCCAAAGAAAGGGAACTAATATGTTTGGGGATCTAGACCAAGGCAGTTTATGGGGAAAAGGGTTTTCTTGGACCAAAAGAATGGTATGGACAAAGGGCACAGGACCAGGATAGATGGGCATGGAGAGGAGGAGACAGATGGAGGGAGGTCAGACCTGCTGAATCTCTTGCTCTGCAGCAAATGTTTTAGGTGCCTAAAACTCAGTGTGCTCCACAGACTCATCTTTTTGGGGTGACCCTTACCACCTCACTGTCTTATTGAGTCTGACCGAGGCACATGGTGCTCCCATCCCGCCCCTCCTAGGAGCCAGTATTAGGAAAATTGTACTCTTGGGTACGGTGGCTGCTTCCCCCTCTGGCTCGATTTGAAGACCTGACCTTGCAGTTGGTGTTGCTACAAACCAGGTGGAGCTGCTAATGAGATGAGCTGCCACTTTCTATTTGTGGCTCCCCAAGGGTAGACAGACCATTCCCCTAGGGCCATGATGCCCAGGGAATCTAAAGTAAGTTTGTCCTAAAAACATTGTGAAGGACAGATCTGGCATTTTGGTCAACATATCTGCCTCTTTACTCTTTCTTACAAACCGAAGAAAGATCTAGAGAGGGCAGGAAACAGAACGAGAATGTTAATAACATTTTACTTTGGTTATAAGATGGGAGGTGGCATTAAACCTTTATTTTCCTTGGGAATTGAGGAATGGAGACATTTTACCTGGGAGTTCTCCAAATCTTACTACATCAGGGATCAGGGCTGGTGTTGGGAGAAGTCCCCAATGTGCCAGAAGAGGAAGGGTCCAGTCAATATTCCATCTGCTATGACTAGTACTTATTCAAACTAATGGCATCATTGAAAGGAATCTACTAAACAAGTAGAATTGTTATTGATTCCTTTTCTATTTACTTTGAAACAGAAACGTTGGGCAGAAATGTAGAGCCAAGTATTCAGTGGACGTGAGCAAAAAGCAGAGAATCCTGCATAGCACTGCCTGGGGGCTGTGAAGGCCCCCTATCCACACTATAGACTCAAGTCCCTAACCTTCAGTCTGAACATTCCAACAGAAGCAGACATTCCAAAGCACCAGAGCCGGAGCTGTCGTGATACAGTACCTGGGCAACTATAGTTACTGCACTTCCCCTGGACCCACAATTTCCCCACCTGTCAACTGGCAGGGCTGGCCAGGGGCTTCGATAGTCAATTCCACATACAGTTGGACAGAGTGGGCACTACTAGAGGTCACTAGCTAAGGGCTAACTGAAGAAAACACCTCAGTTTCCTGCTGTGATGTCTGAGAATTAGATCTGAGGATGAAGGAATTGAAGTGGTTACTTCTTACAGAAACCAGAGGAATAAAGAAATAAGCTTCTTTGATCAGCCTCTGAGTTCCAACAGCAGAATGCTATCAATGTATAAGAGACCCTTGAGTCAAAGGCTCCCAACACAAATCTGCTGGCACAAAAGTGCCACGAGAAACCATTCCTGACTGTCCCCATCCTGGATTACATAAGCATTTTACTTCTGCAAACATAGCTGTCCCATTTCAGGTGTTTTCAAACCCTGAGAATGTGGAAGGCACATCCTGCTGCCACTGCCCGAAACTCCACTAATGAGCCCTCATCTTTCTGCACCGGTCAGAAGCGGCACCAGGCCTAAGGCTCAAACCTCCGCTGTGGAAGTCTGTGCTGCGGGAGCAGCCAAATCAGGCCAAGTGGAGAGAAAATGGCCTGGACTTTTTCACACTGTGAAGTGAACCTGAAGCCCTGGAATGAGGCAGCCTTCCCCTCAGCCCCTGGCGAGACTTGTGCTATGGCTCTGGGCTTTGTTTCCAGTTTCATAGGACAGGGGACACCACCTCCTCCCTCCCAGATGGGATCTTATGTGTACTTAGGATGCTTTTCTTTAAGAAACACCTTTATGCAAGGAGAACATGTTCTTTCCTGCAAAGGCATAAGTGCCTCCTTTCCAGAGCTGTGCCATCTTTGGCAATAACTGTTCCACGCACAGGCAAAGCTGGGACTCAGCACACGGTGGTCTGGCCCTCAGGCCATCCTTGATGCTCAGGTCCATTTCCACCTGTCTTCTGGCCACAGCCCAGCATACGTCAGTTCAACCCTGCCCCCTCCAGTTCTATATCACTTCCCACAATCCTGACACCCACCCTCAACCCACCCAGAAACATCAGACCACTCACTCTCCAGCCTACTTGCCTGGACTCCAGCTCCTCCATCAGAAGTGGGGGCAGGGCCAGGCTGAAGTTAGGGAGCAGTGGGCACATGGAAATGGCAGTGGAGAGAACCAGAGCAATTTGCCCCCACACACACATACACACACCAGACATGGAAGCAGAGGCAGGTGGCACTGGCGCTGTCTTGCCATGCACATGGCAGGGATGTGGGCAGTACACACCAGGGTGCTGGGGACTGGGAAAAGCCACAGGGACATAGGCTACATCTAGGGCCTGCAGTGGGGCCGTGCGCACCATCAGCACTGTTCCTCTAACTAGCTATTGCACGCACAAGGGCGAAGCATAAACAGCCGAGCACTTGTTCCTAAACAAGCAGAAGGGGCAGCAGGTAGAAGGAAAATCTTTAAATAGCACTAATGAGCTGCAGTAACATTTCCCCTCGAGCCGGGCCAGGAATTGGCAAACTGTGACAGACTTGGCCTACTTACATGTTGCCAGCCAGCCATAATGCCCAGATCCATCTGGGAGCCATGCAGGCACCAGCTATATCCCAGGTTAGATTCAAGGCATGGCTCAAATCTCATTCACACCCTTGTACTTCAGGTCTGTCCAAAAGCAGGAAGCTTGTGCAGCCAGGCAGGCCTCATGCTGGGTTGGGAGAGCAGGTCAGAAGGACTTGGTTAATTCACTATGTACACACTGAGGTTTGATCTGGAAATACGTAAGGAGTTGGTTGAACACCTCCTGTGTCTACACCTGTAGGGCCTGGGCAGGTTCCTTCAAGACCAGCTATGAAGAAATTTAGGGTGAGCCTAGGAGAAGTCTTCAGGGCTTAGATCAAAGGCAAACACTGTGGAAGAGACCTAAGTCTGGTCTAAACAGCAAGCTGGGAACTAGACCGGCCTGTGAGAGTATATGGGGCAGGAGACATGAATAATGCAACAGGCAACCCCAAGGCTACACCTGTCTGCAGAAGCTGGGCCTTTATCCTCAGAATTTTATTCAGGGCATAGTGGATTCAGGGCATAGAGAAAAGGAAAATGTGCTCCCACCTGAAATGCTGGGGTCACAGTCTTGCTCACTGAAATTCTGGGGATTCCTTGTAGTTTAATGAAGAAAAGATAGAAAGTCTGCTTTTGGCTGGCAGGAGTTGGATAAAACAAGTACAATCTGACCTCATTCCAGAAAGTGGAACCAGTGCTGTCCAGGCAGAGAAAACACACATGCTGTAGTTGGTTTATATCAGACGGGGTCAAAGACACCAAGATGACCTATTAACCACTTATATATCTCAATTGTCTTACTCATGGATATGGATACTAATAAATAAAGCCATTGGGTCAAATCCTACAAAGAGAGTGGATGAAAGAGTTTGCAAAGAATCTCCAACTGAAGGCTGGTTTAGGACTGAATCCACCTGTGGGAAAGCCAGCTGAGGGAACACTGTTCTATCTACAAAAACAAGCTGTAGATCGAAGGGAGGCAAGGAGACACTGGCTGATGGGGACACCAGAGAGGGGAAGTGGGGTATGTCCAAGTCACTGTCAGATGACCTCAAGGTCCTGTCTAACCTGAAGATCCTGAAAATCTACTGCTATATCCAAAGTCAGGACATGAATGCCCACTGGTGGCTCTTCAGTGGCCTTTCATCATGTCACTGCTTGAACAGAGAGCCAAGCAGGGCACTGTCAGCTACATCTGACAAAATGCAAAGAAATAAGAAGCTAAGGCAGCTGAGAGTGGCTCACAGTGCAAACCCGAGACACCACACTCTTTGCTTCACCTGGACTCACTATCTTCTAGGAGAGAGGCAATTTGAACAGGGCTGGGCTCAGAAGGCTCTCGGAAACATGCTTGAGTCCGTGCCAGCAAAACCCTATAGGGTTACATGCTGGCTGTGGCAGACCTGTGATAAGATATAGGTCATATTGCTTTGTAGATTCAGAGCTTCCTTCAACCGCCACAACACTTTTGAGTGTTGATTACACATTTGCAAATAGCTTTTCTTAAATACTTAGCAGTGACTCCAAATTATCAGAAAGAAGGCCTTTCTCATTGTGTAATATCATGAATATGCATCAAGCCTAGTCAGAGATAAATAATAATTACTTGGCAATTGAGAAGAGAAAAAGAATTATGGTTGGAAAATAGATCTCTATTCAATGGGAAACTTTTGGAAATGATGTGTCTTAGTGCTGGAGTGCTCGGGCTTTGTGCTCCTGTCACCCATCACACTGGGGAAGGGAAGTGGGGGGTCCTCAGACTGGCACACCATCATTAACTGTAGGAAATGAATTCTTTTGACAAAGAGAACTGATTTTTTTTTTTCTCCAAATATAAGAAGCCACTGATGATATTCCTTCCTTTCTATCACTGTCAGGGGAAACATCTGCAAACCCTCCTCGCAGCACCACACTTCCTTTGGTTTTACAGTCAGGTTTCTTCTAGAGGCTCTAGTTCTTTGGCAACAATGTCCCACTGCTTCAGCTCTTCTCAAACTGGGTGCCAAAGTCTCCCATGGAGCTGGTGTCTCAGGCCCTGAAGCTCAGTGGAGAAAGTCACAAGAAGGCCTTGCCAAGGCCAAGCCACAGCAGATCTGGCCAAGGGATGCACCATCATTGGGAAAAAACAGCTCTGCCTGGGGGATCCCATCGCCCCCTCAGGAGCCAAGGGTAAGCAGGTGGTACAGCGAGGATCAAACATACTCTCTGGAGAACTCTGCACCCTGAATTTTAGGATGCAGAAAACCTAAGCAGCCAGTCTGGGCAAGTGGATTTAGAATGCCTAGCCCTGAAGCTGCCCTTCTAGTCCTCTCACCAATTCTCCCAAATCCTGACTCCCCCATTCTCCTAATTATCTTTACCCACCCACTTGGGTGCTGAGCCTACCTCATTCAGACCTTGGGATTTAACATTTTAAGTGGAATGAATGTGTCTTCACCACTTCCAGTTGCCAAGTAGATACAAAGCTCAGACTCCCAAGTTCAAGGAAGATGTGGATGGCAGTGCCTTCCACAGAAAGCAAACAGGAGGACTCTCCACTACTAGCTGGAAGGGAAATCAGCTCACCTCTCTCCTACTAAGTAGCAGTAGCCCAACAAGACTTCGAGGCATAAATACCACCTTGATCTCAAGAGGTAAGCCCATTCTTCTCATTAGGGCTCAAATAATCTACCTAAATTTCTGAAAATCCAATCTCATTATAATAAATTTCAAGGCTAGCATTGCCTAGAATAAGGAAATCACAGGTGGATGCTTGGGCACCTCTTGTGGACAAGGAGGTTGAGACGTCAGGGCAGTAAGCAGTCTTTGCGAGGATGTTTGGCACAAATTTATACTCATGGCTGCTTTAAGAGTATTAGCTTCAAGTCTCACTTCTCCTGACTCCAAAAGCATTCTTTCCCAACTCAGACAGCAGGAAAACAATGTAGGAAAGGAAGGGTGAAATTGTGTGCAGTTTTTCCCTTGCTAAATTCATGTCATTATCCAACAAATCCAGCCAAGCCAGCCAAGCCCAACTCAGAGCGGGGGATACAGGGGAAACCAACATGTTTCTTTCCATTTCACTTGCATCCCCTATCTCTCCCCCAGCCCCTTCACTTCCCCAACTCCCCCCAAAAGCAATGATCCAATAGCATGAGCGATTCCTTCTGGCTCCCTAGATTTAAACCTGCCCTGAGCCCCTTGCTAGGGTAGGCGCATCAAGCCCATGAGAGTGGAGCCTGCGAAGTAGGGAGGAGGCTAAGGAGAACCTGGGCCACAGCCACTTGTGTCTGCTGCTGCTGCTGCTGGAGGAGCTGCTGGAGGAGCTGCATCTGGTGGTGGGTTGACAACGGTGTCCCAGGGCCCAAGCCTGGTGGCTTCGAGATCGAGGAGGGCAGCAGCATGTGGGGTGAGGCTGTCAGCATGGGGTCCTGAGGGTGAGGTGAGACCTGAAGGAGAAGAGAAGACAGGATGTGATGCTGGGGCAGGGCTACCTGTGAGGATCTGTACCCTTCATGACATGGGCAGGTGAGATGGCCCACCTAGAACGCATGAGCTAGAGAAGGACTGGAATGGGGCTGTGGAGAGGAAGCTGTGTAGCTGCCTCCACACAGACTCCACAGTCAGGAAGGGGAGTCTGAACACCTCTGTGACTGGTCCCATCCCATCTCTTACCTACAACTTCCTTGTCATACTCTACTGTGGAGTCATTTGAGGTTCTAGACTTAGAAGAGTTATTTCTATAAACATGTCTCTCTACTACCCCACTATGAGAAAAAGAGGGGGCAGCTCAACCCCTTCCTTTATCCTGTCTTTAGTATTCCTCCTTTCAGGTCTGGGATGTTTCTCATGAGTCAAGCATTAGAGGAAGAGGTCAGGCAAGGGGTTGCTGCCCCATCTTCCTGCATAGTGAAAATCACCAGGGAGGGACATTTGGACACAGAATGTTAGATGACAGCCATTTCCGGCTCCTCCTCCTCTTGGACACTTATACAAAGGCTGTCACAAAGGCAGCTCCTGGACCTGGGGTTCGATGGCAGGGTGACACATGCCATTTCTCGTGGTTCTGTGGCTGATCTCTCTTCAAAACCCCAGGAGGATGACATCCACACCCAGGAGGCCACGGACCCTTGCAGAGGATTAACCAGGTATTCAGGAGAATATCAGCCACTGCCCTCCTAACTGCCAGATTCCTTCTGATGAGCTTATGTGACAGCATCCACCTGAGACAAGGTGCATTCAGGGTGAGGGATGGGCAGGGAGCAGGCGGCAAATCTAAGGGCCTAGCTGTGTGTGGGTCAGCAGTCTTCCTTCCGGGATTTTGTGTTTAGCCGTCTTCAAGTTCAAACTTGGTCTCAAGGTCTTAGGTGGTTTTTGCGTATAAAAGTGTATGTGGTGCTATGGATTGAACTCATCCTGAGATATGTCCCCATCTCCACCCCACTTTTAATTTTGAACTAGCATCTTGCCAAGTTGCCCAGGTTGTGTTCAGAGCTGCAGTTCTCCTGCTTCAGTCTCCCAGAGTGCTGGTATTGTCAGTCTGTACCACCGTGCATGGCTAAATTCTTAGTTTTTGCATCTGGATCCCATAGGAGCTCAGAAGGCCTGACCTAGGCTGCTAGGCTATGGGGATGCAAGGCTGGAGTTGGTGTGGCCTGTCCCAACATGACCTCGAGGCTTCTAGCATGCAGTGGGCCAGTTTCCAAACCCAACAGTGTGGAGGTGCACAACCACTAGAGCATTCAGGGAGGCCTGCACAGGCATGGCTCCCTCAGCTAGGGCCCGGGGGGGTTTGTGTCTCGTGAGCTTGTGCCAGGACCAGCCTGTGCCAACACTGTGCAGTGTGATGCTGTTCAGCATGCTGTGCAGAGAGAAGAAATCAATCACAGATGGGTGGGATCCTGGGAGCAGAGCGCACACCACAAATGAACCCCACAGATTTGGACACACGGTAGTGACTGGGTGGTACACAGGGCCCAGGTCTATGGATATCAGGCCCCTCTCAGAGGCTGTGCTCCAGCACTGTCACGGTGCTATGGAGTGCTTGGCTCTCCAGAAAGTAGGAGCAGCAAGCAACTCCGATGGCTTGAAGCTGAGCCTGAGGCTGGACACAGGTCATTCTCAGAGGCAGCAGGGACATATATA